AGATGGCACTATCACAGCCAAAATGCCCAACATTGGGCTTAAGAGTATTGTTGAACATATGCATACAAAATCCAGAAAAATGGTTGTTTCATTGCTGATGCTGTTGAAATTTGGAAGGAACTGAGTGAGCACTTAAAAACAGAACTACACAAACAGCATTTACAAGATTTAAAAAATCAAATGGGAAAAGCACCGTCTCCAGCTCATTTTCTCGCAAACATTGTCAATAGATTGTAAGCCCTCATGGGCAGGGCCCTCCTTAACATCTTGTCTTGAATTGTATTGTAATTGCAATGTCTTCCTTATATTGTAAAGCGCTGCGCAAACTGTTGGCGCTATATAAATCCTATATAATAATAATATCCGGTACCAGGGTCAAACCTTAAGTGCTGAAGAAGAGGATTTAGCCATGACATGGGTATGCAGCAATCATCCATCTCTACTGCCAACTATAATGAACTTCAGAGCTAAGGGGGAACCAATCAAGAAATATATGTTTGCTGATGAGGTTTTAAAGAAAGTTTCACCAGTGAAAGTCAGTGTCACTTAAGCACTTGGATTCAAAAAGTGTTGAAGTAATAATTTCACTTTTAACTGCAGTGGCCTCTTCTGCTGGCGTTGAAAGAATATTCTCTTACTTTGGACTTGTTCACTCTAAATTGAGAAATCATCTTGGGCCTGATAAAGCAGGAAAGCTTGTTTTTCTTTTCCAGATCATGAACAAACAAGAGAACGAAGATGAAAATGAGTGAGCTGCAGAAGACCGCTGATATATTTTAAAGATATTTTGTTTATGCACTTCAGTTACTAAACATTGATGTTTAAGCTGTAGCTTGCAATATACTAAGCTTTGGGTCATGCGAGGATGCTAGTATATGTCCTCCCGTGACCATTAGGAGAACTATGGGGAAAACACTTACCCCATAGTTCTCTTTTAATTAAATAAAATAATTTTAGTTCTCCAACTATGTGTGATTAACCTATTAACCTAAAATCGGTTCCGATATTGCTGTTTTACTAACCTGACAGCTTATTATTCGAAAATAGGAAACCTTAAATTTTGTTTGCAAATAATAATATTAAAGATTCTTACTACCAGCAAGAATGAGTCCTTACATTTAAAGAGCACTTAGCGGGCATCCACTCACCTGCTGCCCACCACATCCCTCACCTTGTTGTGTCACTGCCGCAGTGAATGGGACTGAGGAATACAACAAATCCCAGAAATAATACATTATACAGTGGCGCAATGCTGAATACCACCAGCTAAAGAGGAATACAACAAATCCCACAATAATACATTATACAGCGGGGCAATGCAGAATACCACCAGCTATAGAGGAATACAACAAATTCAGCAATAATACATTATACAGCGGCGCAATGCTGAATACCACCAGCTAAAGAGGAATACAACAAATCCCACAATAATACATTATACAGCGGGGCAATGCAGAATACCACCAGCTATAGAGGAATACAACAAATTCAGCAATAATACATTATAGTATAATGTATTATTACCGGGATTTGTGTATTCCTCTACAGCTGGCAACATTTTCCATCATCAAATATAATAGATTATAAACTACTTGGGTTCGGCTAAGGGGTGGCTTCAGCAGACTTTAGATAAGTTTGGATGCCGAATCTGAACTCCATTGAAGTAGATAGAGCCAAATCTGTCAAATCAATAATGGGCAATTTCTTGACTATTAGGCACCATTCACACCTAGCGTTTTTTCTACCCTAAAAAACTCTAATTTGTAGCCCATTGAAACCACCTCCTGTACAATGGCATCTGAAATGCTGTCTGTCCAATTGTCCTTGAAAGACTTTGGAGAGGGTTGCCAGTATGAAATTGGAGGGCTTTATAAATAGAGGCTCTTTAACTACTAACACTTTCTCTAGAGGGATCATCAAAGCTTTATTAAGATGGGATACTGCCAGGTCAATTACGGGTCTTCTCAAACAGGTATTGGTCTGCAAAATTCTTCACAGGCGTAGTTTGTTAGGAGTTTTCTAGTCAGCATGTACAGAATGTCTGGAAATCGTGTGTGCACGGGAAAGGTTTTAGTAATCTTACGACCTCTTGACTCTAGACTAATAGCAGCTTTAGTAGATGCTACCGGATGCACCTACAACTTTAAGTTGACGTGCACAACCTCAATAAAAGCCTAAATGGTCTTCCTCAGTCTGGGAACAATGGTGGCTGCCTTCGACTCCTCGGGAACAACCTCATCTGGCAAGGCTTTTTGAGACTATCAGATAAAGCCTCTGCAAATGAAGGCTCAGACTCCACTAAGGTCCACTAAGGCTGCAGGCAGATGAGATAATGAGCCTGCAGGATTCTGCAGGAGAGGCTTTGAGTTATGCTTAAAATTGGAAACTGGCCTGTAAATTTCTGCATAACTAGAGTGAAATCATCCAGGGTTAAAAGAAAGGAAGAGTCTTTAGTGACAGGGTCAAACCATAGGCTGTCACAGTTTTGGTTCTGGAAGGCATCAAATGCAGAGCCCAGTGCCCGAAGGTCACATTCCAGGCAGGCCCAGCAACTGTCCAGTCCAGCAGGATCTAGATAAGGCATCCAAAGCTTTTGCTGATAATATCCAGATCTAGATAGCTGCATAAAAAGACCAGCTCAAATAGCATGTAGATGAAATATTGACTGAAGCAAAAAATAATCTTAAAAAAAAGGGAAAATTACTATTAAAAATACAGTTAAACAATTCTCAGAGACATGTTGGGAGTTATAAAAGGCTAGTCTCTATTTTATTTGTTTGGCAATGTTCAAATCACCCTTAAAAGGAGAATTATGGGGTTAAGGGTTTTCCCCATAGTTCTCCTTAGGGTAACGGGAGGACACAAACTAGCGTCCTCCCGTCACCCTAGGTTCAGTATACCGCGAGCTGTAGCTTGCGGTATACTGAGACACCGCAGTATACCGCGAGTTGCTGCTCGTGATATACTAAGACGTAGGAGCGGATCCCGACAATTAGGTCTGGATCCGCCCAGCTGCGTGACTGACAGCTGGCTCTGCCTATCTAGAGGCAGAGCCAGCTGTACCCGCCCCTCCCCTGTCCGTTCCGCCAGTCAGCGCTGGCGGATCGGAGCGGGGAATCCAGCCCCTCCTCCGGTCAGGGCAGAGAGCCATGACAGGATCGAGAGGTGAGCGAACGCCGCTATGTGTTCGCTCACCTCCTGATCTACTGAGCCAACCTGTGACAGTTTCATTGTCACAGGTCGGCTAGAACTATGAGGTGAGTGAAAAGCACTCACCTCATAGTTCTCCTTTAAGGCAGCAGTATAACCCAAATGTCTCTGAATCCTGGGTCCCTCAATGAACAACAAAAAAATGCCATTTTGTTCTTCAGTAAAAACCTTTAACATAGACTTGTATCCTATGCTCTATACTGAGCAGTATCCAGGTAGATAATTTATAATGGAATGTATCCCTTATTCAATTGAGAGGATAAGGTATCAAAAGTGAAGTTACTGTTTATGCATTCTTTGCAGAAGATGCAGTCTTGCGGCCCTATAAACACACAGCAAGACATCTGTCAGACTATATTTCAGCTTTAATGTCTGGCAGTTAAAAAATAAAACAAAAGCAGCCACAAATATTTTCAGTTTTACACTTGTGCATCATTAGGCAGAATGAAAGCTGAGGATACACAATGCAGCAATAAATATGAGTTATTGGAGTATGCTGTATACAGAGTACCAGGGAGAATAACAGAACTGACATCACGGCATATCAGATCATAGTTCTTTCTGACACTGTGCTAAAATGCCGTAAACTTAATTGGAATCATTTTAAATCTATGAAGGGCTTTGAAGCACAGTACACACATTTGTATGCATCCTGTTGTCTGGTTATCTTTTGCATCTTTATAAATCAATACACATTACAACAGTGACATTTTACGGAAGATAAAATCCAGAAAGTGATGGTTAATCCATAGGCTTGGCTAATAATGTGCTAAGGCTGATTAAATTTGAGTCCTTAATATGTTTCAGTAGAAGAACTAGCAATCCAAAAAGACAAAATAAACTATAAACTAATAAAAGACTGGTTAGGATGTAAACATATCTTGCACATGAACCCTGATTTATAGAAAAAACAAAAAATTGCGTTGCCTTTTATTTTTCCATTACAGGTTAGAAATGGAAAGGTGTGTATTATTGCAATCAAGATCTCTAGTTGGAGGAGGGTCCATGCCTATATCAGAAACTCTTTTATCCTATTCAAAAGATTAAAAATGTGTTTATTATCAAATACACTTTACGGAGTGCTAGCATACAATTGACATTAAATTCAACAGTAGCTGTCCCATTAAGATTCTCAGGCCTGTACCAAGTAAGGCAAAAAAGGCTATCAAACCTATGCAAAGATATACAAAGTGCACTTAGCACTTCTGAATTTAAATATGGTTTGCTATGGGATAGATGCTGCACTTTTCGCACCTTTCTTACTCACTGTACTCAAAATAACCTTTCATTTTCATTCACCATTAAACCATCATCCCATGTGAATGCAAAGTCATCATTTTAAAACAACTTAACATATTTACAAAACAATCTTAACATGTCTAAATATATAAGATGGGCTTTGCCTGACTGAGCCAAGTACAGTCGGATCTGGAAACTATCGTACATTTCTATGCACAGCACGCCCTCACCAAGTAACTAGGGATCAGATTTTCCCAGCTGATCCCTATTTTCTTTCCCCGTACCAAAATAAGTTAATGCTACGGGTGCTTTCCTCCCTGATTCACTGGCATAAAATGAAAGTATGAATGTTATCTGACTTTTGTCATTAGCCTTACACCAATGTAGACCTAGACAGAGAAAGATACTTGCCTGCAATAAAAGCAGGTGTGTTAACACATCAAACAGTGCTCGGCAATGGGTATTAATGCTTTGGTACACCCATGTTGGAGGGACTAAGCAACCTTTGAGGCTGCAATCAATTGTGAAAAAGTATTGATTCATGTACTCACGTAATTCCCCCACTTTCAGGATTTCACAAAGCATCTTGGTTAGTTCTATACTGCTGCGACCAAAAGGGCACTCATGCTTATCTTCTCGACTGCTGTTTTCCAATACAATCTGGAACGATACATTTTTTTTTTTATCAGCATGATGTAATAAAATTAATTCATCATATGTGTTGATGCATCAAAACAAAACTTGAATCTATTTGGAATTATGTATATACACATGTAGGCAGCCATATTTGTTTATTACACATGCAGGTTTTGTTTGCTGATTTGCAGCACTATAGAATGGTTGTGATTTACTGTTCCTTCTCACAATACAAAGTCTTTGAGTCTCCCAACCCATGGAGAACAACAAACGTTTAATATAATAAGATAGGGATGGACCCACAAGCATGTAAAGGAGTCATAAAAAGATTATCTTATGGTAAACACTGCAGTAATAGCTAAATGTGTTCACTGAAAATACACTATCATTTCCTTTTAAGCTCATTTCTAAAAAAAACAACCTCTCAAAAAATGCTTCGCTACAAAACATAACAGATACACAATAAAAATTAATTATCAGATTCATCAGATATTTATAAAGCCAATTCTTTTGGTAGACTGCTTACCCACACAGCGAGCTGGTAGATCAGTGGGTAACACAGAATCCTTGCAACACTTCATCCCTTCATCCATTTTATATCCGTAAACTCCTGGAGACACTATATGCCTCAAAGTTTCCCCTAATAACCTGAAAACAGTGTTATTCCACCTGTGTGTCCCAGTAGAAGAATCAGTTTCTATCCCAGTGACCACTGTACATGATTGTGGATGGGAAATCTCCCCAACTGGAGAAATATCCAAGTCTCACACCATACTAAACTGGACCATGTGGGTATTCAAGTTGCAATTAGATGGTGCCATTATACACTACATCATATATCACCATCACTTACTTGTCACCTCTTGGTAGGTTGATATTAGAAGTCCCTAATATTATAGTACAATATTTTAAAACCTTTTAGAATCCTTTCACTATGGTTATTGATGACTTGATGCAAGGCTCCAGTAAGATCCTGAAATGTTGCTCAGTAATATTGGTGGCTGCTATGTGAAAATTTTTTTACAACAGATGCCACAGGTTTAGTGATGACATACCTTATGACCTCCTCATAAGAGACAAATAAAAAAAATAAACAGGTGCTAACCCTACCACACTCCATTCGTGCCATTGCTTCTCAAGTTCACATTTTAAGTACAAGACAAAACACTTTGGAACACCACCTGTGTTATATATTTGTTACATGATCTCATTCACATAGCAATCATTTAATAATTCAATAAATTCAAAGAATAAATAAAAATTGTTACTTGCTCTTTTCTGAAAACTGTAAAACTGAAGTTTTTTAATTCTCTGTCATTTTAAGGAGGGGGCTTGGAAGAGGATATGGTATCAATGTTTATCAAAATTAAACCTGTCTTTATTGTGTAGGACATGTCATTATCAGATGTAAACTAGATTTATACAGTGTCTGTCCTAACAAAGTGTTAAAGATCAATTAACATTGAATGTTAATGAGAGGAAATGCATCCTGTCAACTTTTGTTTTGGGGACAGACTCACTCACAAATATTTCAAAGTAGCTTGCTAGTCTACCAAAAACCTCCTCCTAAGAAACAGCTAAAAGGTAAGCAATATTTTTAAAAATATATTTCTCCGTATACTGTAAGAATGGGAACACGTAGGGGTTATAATAAAAAAGGGGTTGTCTCACTCCTGGAGATGCACAGTTCTAGTAGTTACCCTTTAGAACAGTTTGTCTACCATATCCGTAACCAAACAGTGATACAAAAAAGTAGCAAAAATTGATCCACCTCAGAGTATAGGTGGTCCGAAGGGTTAACCAAGGAATGGGACAACCCGTGTTATAAGGTATAGAAAATTAGTTTATTCAAAACAATAGAAAATTGGTGGATACAGCCAAAAACTTGCTGTAGATGAGTTTAAAAACAGAAGATACTCGTCAGGACGTACAGACCTCTGGGTATGGGACGTGTATATTTACCGTCCTCACCTGTGGGTCATCGTTACTCACGCTTACTAGTATCATTAGATCCATTTTCACCTTTACAATCAAGAGTTCATATGTAAACTAGAAATGGTTAATTAAAAACGTATTTTGTGTGGCTATATATAAAAACATTAGGCAAAACAAACAATATACTTATATATGGGTATCCTCAGAGTTCAATACAATCATGAACATCTACATTCTTAAGGGGGCTCTTCTTCTGAGCGATAAACGCTACCCACGATTACCAACAGATGGTCCATCATCTACCTTTGACTAGTGGCAGTAATCACAACTCACCTGTATATTGCCGATCACGGGCTTAGTTCTATGCAACAAAGTGACAATATATGTGATACACTGTCCAGTCTACCGCTGATATAATTAATAGCAAATCAATGGTTAAAATCCTCCTGGCTTGACCCGGAGTTTCATTTCTTGCAAGTCTGCTTGTTATGGTCATTTTTAGTGCTTTCTGTCTAATATAGAAGGTCAACCCAAATCCACCAATGGTCATGTTCATGACCAACAGCTTCAAAGTATCTTCTGTTTTTAAACTCATCTACAGCAAGTTTTTGGCTGTATCCACCAATTTTCTATTGTTTTGAATAAACTAATTTTCTATACCTTATAACACGGGTTGTCCCATTCCTTGGCTAACCCTTCGGACCACCTATACTCTGAGGTGGATCCATCTTTGCTTCTTTTTTTGTAACACATAGGGGTTAATTAAAAAAACTATACACTGTGAGGATGCCGTTCACACATAATGAGTGCCTTTAGATGGTGCTGACCTATATTCCTGTGAACAGCATTAATTTTTATAAATTAACTCCATAACATACAGTGGGGTTTTTTAACGTTGAAAAATATTTTTTTATTTGGTTCTCCAGTTATTGTTGAATATAATGAACCACCGAGCTGCATAACAAATGCATTCTGCTATACTGTTATTGTATACCATCTTTGCAGCAACATAGACAATATAGACAGTAGAGACAGACATTTAAGAAAACAATAGATTATAATAAAAGCAGCTTGACTGACAACAAAAAGACATGTTACATAATACATCATACACAGCTAATATAAAAGCATTGTTTCCTTCAGCCTAGTCTTACATGCAATACACCCGCATAGGTTATTGCACTAATCTGGATCATTTGGCACCGTAATCTCACTCCTAGAGATGAAATGTATGGTTGTGCATAATTACCAATACATTCTAAGCTATGCTATTGAGATGCATAAAATTTTACATGCCTGTTCGGCTCTGCTTACTTTAGTGATAATAGCTACATGTGGAAGGAGAGATAAGAAGAAAATTGAATAGATAAATACAATAAATGGATAGTATAGATTTACTGCACTTGTGACTCTTGCAAATGCTAGAAGAATCTGACTATAGTAAATTATGTATTATGCAGAAAATCCACCTCATGAAATGTGTCTTCTGATGCAGCACGTTGACTTGCTATTATTAGATTATAAAAAGGCCTTTTGTGCGTGTTCAGATATCCTCAGAAAGCAGAACGTGCCCTATTTTGCTGATGCTCTTCAGCTAGAAATGCACACTCAAGGTTTTATGCAGTTAAAAAAACTCCACATTGATTGAAAGGCAACTGCAGGGGTTCATTGCCAGTTAAAAATAGAAAAAAAATATATATTACAGCATATCTGTGTTCTTTATATGGTGCTTAGAACAGGTATTCTAGGAACGACGCTTTGTATTTTAATCCTGCAGCTCACATGCTTAAAAATAGATCTTAAAGGAAAAAAGTGAATGAGCATGGTGTGGGTCAATTTTGATCCATTTTCAGGCTGTAGGTGACCTGCATATACATCACCTGTCATCAACGCAGACTGGTGAGTCAGACACATACAAACTCTGGACAGCTCAGTTACTTATAAATTGAAATAGAGAGCCAGAAATGATTGCAGGAAAACCGATTAGGTAAGGTAAAGTATAAATTATCTGTACCGATGCTGCTGCCAGTGGTGCTTCTCTACTGGCTTCTGTGTATAGCAAAATATATACTTGTTCTCTAAAGAACAAAATTATACATTGCCTTAGTCTCAAGTGTCTGTCTTTCCCTTCCTGCGCCGAGAGAAAAAATAAATGAAAACTGCTGACATTGAAAATGTGTGATCAACAAAATAATAAATATTTTTTTTAATAAAAACAAGGGAAAAAATGTTTTAAAGTAAAACTGTTTACGGGCAACATGGAAAATTCAGTGTGAAGTAACACACTTTGAAAGTAGTAATTATTTAGTTATGTTGTGCGTGCTGAGCCTTTTGGACTGTGTTCACATTTTTGCAAAGAGGTTAAGAGAGGAAGAAGCAGCCAAGAGGGAGAAGAAAGGGGGTATGGAAACAAGAAAACTCAAAGAGTCCCCCTGAAGGATCTTATGTCCAAAACTGGCATCAGATGGGGCTGGAACACCCACCTAGTAAATCTTAAGTGTCAAAGAAAAAAAGGCAAAAGAGAAAGTGGAGGAGGAAGGGGGAAGATATTGAGAAAAGAAATGGAGCAGAGAAAGAGAAAATATGGAAGACCGGCGGCATATCTTATTATGTGTGGCGTTTTGGCCTTCTAATTTTCCGAATATGATATGTTAAAGTGTTAAAAGTGAATAATGGGCAGGCCACGTTAGGGAAAATTTGCTTTGAAACATACCTGTTTTTTTCAAATAAAGTACAGGTATTATTTTTCTTTAGCTGCCTTAAGGGAAGTAACCCCCCTATCCTTTCCCCCGCCTTAGATGCATACATATCTGAAGCCAATGTCCAAGGCCTGCAGCAAATCTCCAAATTCTTTAGCACTAGTCGTGTCTGCACAGTCTATCACTATGCACTTCAATGTTGTTGTTTTCCTAACATTCACAATCTTGCTACAATATTGCTACCGGCCGTGCCTGCACAGTCAATCCCCTTAGACTTCTATAGAGCTATGTTCCGAGTGTCTCCAATATGGGGAAAGAATCCCATGGTTTATATGGGAACTGACTGAGTAGACACAGGAAGAAGATAGCAGTTACATCTAAGGCAGAGGGGATAATAAAGGGGCTGGGAAAAAGATATAAAACTGCACTGTACAGTTATGCTTTAATTTAAACAAAAGAAACTCTTTTAATATGACATTAAAGTAGAATCTATTTTGATTTACTAAAGATTTATATTAAACAACCTAGATTGTGTAACTATATTAGATCATTTTTGTATGCTGCAAATACACTAGAGAGAATCTAGTGAGACAAAACACAGTAGTAGCAATGTCAAACAGTACGAAATTTAAGTCCTGCCATATGGGATAGTTCATAAGGTGGCTGTCAAATGCAGCAGACATTTTTCAGATTCAGCTTTTATAACCATCCAGGGACACAAAATAATCTCACACTGACTTCACTGGAAGTTGCAGGAATTCTGTGTGTATATCAGTAAAATGAATTGCTGCAACAGGACAGTAACTTTCATGACTCACTTGTATAATGAGGTAAGTTACAATGCATGAACATAAATATGCATTAACAATGTACAATATAAGCAGGTGAAGTATTTTCACCAAAAATAAATCAAAATGTCGTCTTTTTTTATAGTCTAGTAATAAATAGAAGTCAAAGCAATAAAGATTCCAATCTCTAGATAATATAACAATACTGAGACTCCACAAAATAATGTGCCATGGAAATGACAATTATGCCACAAAAAAAAGGATTTTTGAACGCACTGTAAAATCCTCTTTTTTTTTTAGTCCATTATATGGACACAAAGTCTTTGACGTTCAGGCTATACTGCTATTTATAATAGGATTGGACACTGATGAAGAAAAAAAAACAGTTGACCCGCCAAGCATAACATCTCCTAATATCAGCATGTCTCAAGTTTGTAGCAGAGCAGTAGAGAGAGAGAGTGATCATAAACACAGAGGGGTGGGAACGGTGTACCTCAATGGACTCCAAGAAAATAATTTTATGGCAAGTACAAAAATCTTTACCTTTATTGAGGGACACTAGATGTCTGCTTTTTGGACATCCAATAGCATTGCAACTGAGTGGTAGGCTACACAGGAAACAAACACTAACATGAAAAAACAGACAACTGGGGACTGCCTGGAGCTCAGAGTCCTCTGAAGGACACTATGTCCAAAGCTGTCATCAGATGATGCTGAAACATCCACTTAGCAGAACTTAGAGTGTGTAAACTGAAGGGGTGGCAGACTTCTAAATCATGTAAACAGATGCTTGATACCAAACAAAATCCAAGAAGCACTCACAGATCTAGTAGAGTATGTCATGACAGCAAAGGGTGGAACCCAATTCTTGAGATTATAAGCTTGGTTGATGGTCTGACTTCGCTACTTATTGATGCTGGAGGGAGAAGCCAATGAACCCTTTCTGGGACCATCTGAGATGACAAAAAAGCATCTGAAAGACAGACTCTGACACAACGAACCACATCCACCTATAGAGGGAAATTTACTTTTGACAAACTGAAGCTGGACAGAGGGATTTAAGTACAAATGTCGTGGTTGAGGTGAAATGCAGAAACTACATTAGGCAAAAAGGAAGTCCTGGGCTGAAACACCACTTTGTCCTAAGCAAAACCAGAAAAGGGTTCCTTGCAGAGTAATGGCATCCATTTTAAATCCACACCTCTCAGAGGTGATGCCTACAAGGAAAAAACACCTCATGGGAAAAAGTAGAGAGAGAAATATCTATAAAGGTTAAAGATATAACCAGATTCAGTTCTCATGGAATCACAATGGAAAGGAGAGAGGAGGGGATACATGGCAGACACCCTGTACAAAGGTCTCAATCAAGAAATGAGAGTCCCATTGTCTCTGGAACAGGATGGAAAGGGCAGAATAATGGCCCTTGATAGTGCTGCAGGAAGAAGAGGGTTTTTCCCACCGAGAAACTCCTAGGGTGGATACCCCAAGACCTGAACCAAGTGAAGTAGGTCTTCCAGGTCTGATGATACTAGGATAATAGGAATCACAAATTCTGGGGTGCCCCCAGCTCTCTGAACCTGGAGTTCAACAGCCATACTGTTAAAGCCAGCGACCATGAAGCAGGATGGTAAAATGAAGCAAAAAATGTCCAAATATGAAGCAAAAAATGTCCAAATATAGCAATAGTGATGAATATTTCTTGTTCCTTCACCAAATGCACCACACCAGATATAGGGGTGCTCACCTTATTGATAGACCCCAGCAAGAGGTCAAACCAGGCAATTCCCTTCTTAACCAGGGGAGGGGGCCCTCAGCTCCAATCGCTCACAGATGTCCTCCAATGGTGTAATCAGACCAGCAAACAGATCTGTGCAACACTTCTTAAATAGGAAAGCAATAGCCTCCAATCTTTATCGATCTATAGGCCTCCTCAGTATAAGGTGTCAATGCCAGGATTGTGTTGACCGAAAAAAGAAAGCAAACACCATAGTGCGTACCATCCAAACAGAGTATGATTTATTAAAAGAAAATTACTTACATAAAAGCAGTGGTAACATAGCATGGACTCTCTCTTAAGAGTATGTGCAAGAGTTTCAAATGACTGCAGCCGTCAGTCGTAGAGATCAATGTAACGTCAAATGCTCCGCCCTATGCGCATTACGTCCAGCATGACTTCATCAGGTAACTATTTGATAACCATTTGGTGAAGGAACAAGAAATATTCATCACTATTGCTATATTTGGACATTTTTCGCGGATTTATGAAGATTTAAAGACTTTACACCTGATTGATTTTTTTCACTGACATTTGTTTGAGTCACTTATTTTTATACTCTTTATATCTGATCATTGTTGTAGCTCGGCACATTTAGTTATTCATTTTTCACGTATACACACTCACAGTGGGTGTACATTCCAGTGCCTTGTAGCTGTTAGCTTGCTTATTGGCGCAGTTCATTTTCTATATTTATTATGAGTCAGCAAATAACTGGGTAATTTGGGTAATAAAGGTTTAAATGACTGAAATAAAAGGGCTGAGGATCCAGCCACACTCAAAAGGGCTAAAAAGGTCAGGTAACGGAAAAGACTCTGGGAGCAGAGGGCAACAGGTTTCCAGGCTGCAGATGTCAGTACCTTCAGCAGGCACGCTGCAAGCAGTCCCAAAGCCATTAGCAGAGTGTAAGCTTTGGCCACCCTTTACCCCCCATGTCTAGACTAGGACATGGTGCAACCACCTGGCAGTAAATCAACAAAAGGCTCTGGATTAGAGGCAGGGCTTCAAGTACTTATGAAATTCAGTCAGCTGGTAGCAAGTGAGAATCGAATGGCCAGAGGTGACTAAAGTTATTGTAAGCAGGCAGCAGGAATGGATTTACAATCCTCCTCTAGGCAGCAACTTAACCTGAAGGTTAAAAAAATCCCACTGTCTCTCAATGGATGAAAAATAAATCTTATTTTGGCATCAAATAGCTACAAATACTCCAAATTAATTTGGCTAGAAGTGAAAACATTTCCTTAAAATGTATACTATACAACAGATAGTGTATAGAGCCTACTGTCTATAAAACACACTCACACACATATACAACCTTTAGGGCCTGTTTAGACAGAAGCCTGTTTTAAGAAGCAACTAACTACATGAAATGTACAGAAAAAGACCTCACCCGTATGTAGGCATCCTGGTGGTGTTTAGCAAAGTACAACATATTGTCGAGAGCCAGCATTCCTGGAGGAGTATGGGTAAAATCCAATGCTGGGTTGACATTGTTCTGCAAACAATAAACCGGAAATATGATTAATAAGAGAACTCACATTCTTATTTTTATTTTCAGCTAGGTATCTTCTAAGTAGTATATATATATATATATATATATCTATCTCAGAGCAGGCCTCCTCTTAAGGCCAAATTGTATTAAGAAGCCCAATATGCCTGTGTTTGGACAACCTGCCTTAAAATAACAATTCAAAGTCAAGACTGTAATAGGTTGTACATATGTAAATTCTATCCCAACTGTCGCTAAATTCTCAAATAAATACAGTTTTGTAAATACATCTCAGGGTAAATGATGATTCTGTTCTGTTAATTAAAATCTTCCGTGACCGTCATAGTCTGCTGACACAGTTTTTCATTAAATATGAAAATTACATTTATTTTTAAGGTTCCCAAAAGAGGACGGAGCACAGTTACAATAAATTGTATTTACTTTTTGCAATTATTATGTAAATCACTTGGAGTAAAAACCAAATGGTCTCAGATTAAAAAAAAGATTGCAAATGAGGTAAACAAGCAAATGTGAAATTTGCAAATGAACTAGGTGATAAGATAAAAGACACCAAGACTATTTTACTGGCAAGAATTCCAAGACACAAATGTCCACAGAGACCTAGTCCTGGGTGTTGTGTCCCGTGTGGTTTGTCCTCCGCTACACAAACAACCGCAGTCATAGAAGAAAGTAGCCACACAACAGTGAGCTGAGCACCTTCCTCTTTTTATGAATAAGCTCATTATGAACAAAACACATCAGGGGAAGAGCTCAGGTAGTCTGCTGTGCATCAGATCCTTTACTAAACACAGATTACCGTTTTTACTCCAAAATGCAGCTACTTTCTTCTTTGACTGTGATTCATTTTACTAGCATTTATTTTAGCAAACAATGTGAAACAGTTACACCTTACAAGCTTTTCCAAGAGTAAATTGGAGGTGCTGCCATACAATTATCACGCATTATAATTATAATGTAATTAAAAGCATGTTGCAGTTTTTCACTCTACTGACAACATTGTTTAAGTGTGTATCTGGTCAAAAACGCAAATTGCATATATTGTTTATACAGTTTCAATATATTTACTACAGTACTCATGTTTTTGATATCTGTTGAAGCCATAAAAGCACTTGCTTTTTCTGCAAGTGATCCTCATTCAAAGCTTGCTCCTGTTAAAGGGTGGCTATTAAACCACATCTCAATATTCTGTATATTAACATAGCCAACAGGCCAAAGACTCATCTCCTAGCCGAAGCAAATATCATATTGCAGTTCTGCACACAGTCCTAGCTTATGACATATAACGCAGTGCACTATTGGATATGTTGTTTTAGACAACATGCAACGCTGCAGAACGACGATGCTACCCACTCATATAGTGTGGAAGTATGTGGCCATTGGACAGGCTACCACAGCAATGACAGGAACTTATTTTATATATTCAATCTAATACAGTATTACAACTTTTGCAATTCATTACTGCAGAGTGCTAATACATGTCATAGTGTGGGGGATATGCAAAGATAACCATGACTTTTGATATCCTTTAAATCTAGACTAAGAAATATATGATTCAAACAATATTTCTACTGACAGCACACCTTGATAACAAAGGAAAGGACTGGTTGTGCAAACTATTCAAAGTCTGTTCCTCGGAAGATCAAAACAGAGGCACAACAGTTCACCGAGGAGGTGAATGTTTGAAATGAGTCATCCTACACTTTAGATTTATCCTGCTGCTTCAAAATGCAAACGTTACTTTTCTCCTAAGGAAGCATTTGCAGCACCAAGGGCTGTGACCTATGTGACCAGGACTGTCACTACAGCTAGAGGTGTTGCAGGAGAACAGTCCTATCTCTTGGATTCTGTTGAAACCAAATGAAAAGAGGGAACTGAAGGCCATTCTTATGGGGTTTTTATCTTAACTACTTGCAGAGGTATAGAAAAAGTAATAGCTTGGAACCTAACATGCTTTATGTCCTAGAAAAATAAATGTAACACACTGGAAAAAGTTGCAGTTAAATGTAAAAAAACATGCATAGGACAACATGCAAGTACTAGGTAGAATTTAAAAAAAAAACACTTTGAGAATGATACAATCCCTAAAAATGATAGGGCTAGTGATCAAATATATCCACAATGAACGTTTTTAACGTGTAGAAGTCATTCAGCAAAAGTAACAAAGTGTGACTTGCACACCACACACTTATGACAACACAAGAACCTCCCACTATAGGTAAAAGAAAATAAGATTTCATGTCCAACCTCAAAAAAATATTCTTTAAAAAAAATAAAAAAAGAGAAACTGGAAAATTGGTTACAACTACAATAATGCATATGTTTCTGCAAGTATAAAATATATAAGATAATATAAAAAAAACAAGGGATGCAGCAAAATTGTGGCCACTGAAGCATATCGGCCGAAAATGGTACTTTGGGCAAAATGCCGAAAGTACCATCTTTCAGCTGAAATTGTGGTGCATCCCTAGTTTCTCTCCTCATTGCCCTGTGTATGCTCTGACACAGAAGAGCGTCCAGCGGGGAGGATAGAAACTGTCAGGAGGCCAAGCAGGGTGGGGAGGAGATGTGGGCGGCGATGTCACAGGAGGCCGAGCTCTCCTCACGCACCACCCCGCTCGGCCTCCCGTGACACTTCAGGATGGAGAGCAGTGTGGGAAGGAGACAGCTGTAAGCTACTTTAACAGCTGACTCCTCCCCGCACCGCCTGCTCAGCCTCCCGTGACAGCGTGTCAGGATGGAGTGCGGTTACAAGCAGTTAGTGATCAGTGATCACTGACTGCTTTTCAATAATTGGAGGACAGAGTATGTTAACTGTGTCCCCAATTATGAATGAACAGGAAGTGATCTACATCATCTCCTGTTCATTCATGATTGTGTATATGGTAAACATACTCGCTCCACAGGTGATGAATGAACAGGAGCACTAAGTATAGAGACTGCTTGTTTATTTATAACAGGGGCTGCAGAAAAAGAGATTGAGGACTCCACATCCTCAATCTCTTTTTCTATTTAAAAAGGGAAACATCAGGGGTCTGTGTAGACCCTTAATATTTCCCAGAGCCCGCGACAGTAAAAGTTAGAAAATAAAAAATATTTAATTAAAAAAATGAATTACAAATACGATTATAAAAACTTGAGAATAAAATAGATATAAATTGCATATTCAAATAAATATGAAAAGGTTAGAAAAAAAAAAACTATTGTTCGGTTTCCGCCTGACCATTTCTTTTCTTTTCAGTTTCGGTCAGAAAATTCAATTTCAGTGCACCTCTACTAAAAACTATTTTGGGGTCAGAAAGAAGTGAAAATACGTCTATGCTTTAAAGTATTTTGCTTTCATCCAGTTCAGTGGTGGGGAAAAGTGGATGATTTTAAACGTTTTCAAAGACAAAGTTTTATATTATTTGTAATAAAAAAAGTTTTACGTCTTACTGTAAAAAAAACCAGAGGAAAAATGACATCTATTTCTAGAATGGCATTTTAAAACATAATTCCAAAGCTAGTTGTTGGGCACCCGTTGCCCCTGCTAATCTGTTTACGGAGCTGTCTTCAAAAATTGTGACAAAATATGAGATCACTTTGGGGTGTCTACTTTCAAAAAAGCACGAATTTGTTTGTAGTGTCCTGGCATTTTTATTTGAACAGAAATAAGGGAAACTATTTTTTTTCAACATTGCTGGTAATTTTCCTATCTACAGTAAAAAACCCAAACCCTTTGTGGAATATAACATGGGTACAAAAAATGAAAAAAAAAGGCCTCAGTCATGAAGGGGTTAATAAATACCACCAAAAGAAAGCTTTATCTGCCTTAAAAAAATATATAATTCATTTGGATACAGTGTCAATGACTAAATAATTGTTAGTCAAATTTATAGCTCTGAAAACTGAACAATGGCCTGCTAATGAAGGGGTATATACAGACTGCTACCCAACTGGTTAACTTGATATACATACAGTATATTGTTTTTTAATCTATCTGGCTATATCAATGTAACAACAAATGCTTTAACAGTGGATTAAATGTTATTTATTATAAGCGGCTTCCTAAATTTATACTGTGTTTAAATAGATTGTAAGACCTAGTTATATATCCTTTGTTATACCCTCAATATGTTTCAAACACACAGAATTGTACACAATAGCAAATGCAGCTCAGAAATGGTACAGGTCAATTCCAGTTCAGAATAATAAAGTTGATAGATGATTATTTCCAGAATATTGAGCAGTATGGGGAAGGATGCTCAATTTATCGTCAAAGCACATGCCTTCCTATTTTGTTCATGATTATTCTTTGCCTTTAAAAGCTCTGGGCAGCATGATATGGGTCATTTTCCAAAGCTATACATACATAATAAGTCAGGCAGTGTTGGTATAGTCCTATGTTCAATTAACTATAATTGAAAATACTTTACGGAATTAGAATGTCTAGTAAACATATTATGAAATATCCATAAATAATACTGACATTATATGAATACAATGACTAATAAAAGCATTATAATATTTTAAAGGCTAGAAAATAAAGCAGAAACATTTCATGAGGTTTTCTGCTAGCACTGTATAAAACTGCTCAGGTGTTACTAAAGTGATTGCTTTCTAGAAGTATTGCAGTAATGACAAGTAAAGGGATTGTGAAAAGAAAATCTAAACAATTCTCTTTTAAGATATTTCAAAAGCTTAATAGTCAGAAATGTGCATGTCACTCTTTATGAACTGTCCCCCCACTGTTTGCATGACTTTCTTCATCTGTCTGTTAGTGGGATTGTATCCTGTTATCCATGCCACTGAAACATAGGTAGATCCAGCGCAGCTGCATGCAGTACAGAGACATTTTTGAAGTAGTTCCAACAGATGTTGATATGTTTAATCCTTACTACTGTTCACATGCAATCGAGCTACATTTTTGGATCGCAGTCTGCGCACTGCTACTTGATCCATGTGTTGTTTCACTTTGGAGTTTACCTGCATTGTTACCATTTATTCTA